TAATGAATCCCTTAACACACACACAAACACACACACACATGAACTATTAATGAATCCCTTAACACACACACAAACACACACACACATGAACTATTAATGAATCCCTTAACACACACACAAACACACACACACATGAACTATTAATGAATCCCTTAACACACACATAAACACACACACACATGAACTATTAATGAATCCCTTAACACACACACACAAACACACACACAGTCTGTGTTTCTGATTTATTTTGCAAATCACAAGTGAAATAAAAATCTGTTTGAAATCTCTTTGTTTCTTCCTCACTATTAAATTTAAATGATTTAATATTATCAATGCACAAACTAAGAGTACACTGAAAGATACTGGACCACAGTAAAAGTACAATGGACCCCAGCCTGGTTCTGATGGTTCCGATGGTGGTTCCAATGGCGGTTGCGATGCCACCTGGTTCTGATGGAGCCTGGTTCTGATGGTGGTGCTGATGGTGGTTTTGATGGTTCTGATGGTGGTTCTGATGGACGGTTTCCTCATTGAAGTTCTTTCAGTTTGGGTTTGTCATGAAAACCTGAAGAAGTTTGTTTAAAACTGCTGAGTCTCAGTTTTCCTCCAGCAGGTGGAGCTCTGGACTACAGAACAACTGGGTCACTGGGTTAAGAGGGTTCTCTGGTAACCGCAAGGTCAACGGTTTGATCCTCGACTGGGACGTGTCGAAGTGTACCTGAGCAATACACTGAACCCCCGGCTGTCACTGCCTGTCATTGGCAGCCCACTGCTCCCTATATACAGGGAATGCAGAGACAAATTTCCCTTTCCCTTAACACACACGTGGTTCTGATGGACGGTTTCCTCATTGAAGTTCTTTCAGTTTGTCATGAAAACCTGATGAAGTTTGTTTAAAACTGCTGAGTCTCAGTTTTCCTCCAGCAGGTGGAGCTCTGGACTAAAGAACAACAGGAAGTAAAAGTGCAGTACTGGTAGTAAAAGTACTACCAGTACTCACCACACTGTGGCCTTAAAGTACTACAAGTACAACAACAATGATGATGACTCATGCATGAATGTAGAAGCAGGACTGCAGTGGGCTGCTTCATTATTGTTATTGTTATTATTGATTAATCTGATGATTTCTCCAATAGTAAATTCATCTTTTGTTTTGTAAAAATAGTGAAAATAGTTTTACAAAGTGTGATGCATTATAGATGAATTGTTGTAGATTAAAGTATCAATTGTTTTTAATAATAATTATACATTTATACATACATTTATAGCACATATTGCTACTTAAATACTTTTACTTGTGTAAAACTAGTGTACTAGTATTTCTTTACATTACAGTCATTTATCCAGTCTTTTATCCAAAGCGACTTACAATAAGTGTATTCAACATCAGTTTTTGAGAGAACAACTAATCACCAGAAGTCATAAGTGCATCTCCTTTCTTCAAACAAGCATCTAAGAGCATAAACCAGAGCCAACGTACAGTGCAGAATCAAACCTAATATGAATAGAATAAGTGCAATAAGCTAGTATGAATACAATAGATGCTAAGTAAGTGCTAAGTGGAAGGCTCAGGGTAGGCCTTCTTGAAGAGGTGAGTCTTCAGCCTGATGAAAGATGGGCAGTGACTCTGCTGTCCTGACGTCAGTGGGGAGTTCATTCCACCACTGTGGGGCCAGGACAGGAAACAGCCGTGACCGGGTCGATCGGCCGTAGGGACCTCTGAGCGACGGGGCAACCGATCGCCCCGAGGCAGCAGAGCGAAGTGGTCGGGCGGGGGTGTAGGGCTTGACCATGGCCTGGAGATAGGAAGGAGCAGCTCCTTTCACTGCCCTGTAGGCTAGCACCAGAGTCTTAAACTGGATGCAAGCTCTTACATGGAGCCAGTGTAAAGAACGGAGAAGGGAAGTTGTGTGGGAGAACTTGGGGCGATTGAACACCAGGCGAGCTGCAGCTTTCTGGACAAGCTCCAGAGGTCTGATGGCCGACGCCGGGGCTCCGGCAAGTAATGAGTTGCAGTAGTCCAAGCGGGAGATGACAAAAGCCTGGATGAGAACCTACGCTGTCTCCTCAGTGAGTAAGGGGCGAATCCTCCTGATGTTGTAGAGTATCGTCAATGGTGATGGAGAGGTCTCGGTGCGGGCAACCCTTCCCCGGGAGGAACAGTAGCTCGGTTTTGTCCAGGTTCAGCTTCAGGTGGTGTGTCGTCATCCACTTTGAGATGTCAGCCAAGCACGCAGCAATGCGTGCCTCCACTTGAGTGTCACCGGAGGAAATAACAAGACCAGTTGGGTGTCATCGGCATAACAATGAATAAAATACCCTTCCACAACACACCACATATTCACTCACTCATACCCAGGAAAGGTGCCTCTTTCCTGGGTTCTGTACCTCCAGAACACTCCCTGGACCTTCCTGCAGAGTCTCTGGCTGATGGAGGCTGAAAAAAGGGAGCAAAATGAATAAAATACCCTTCCACAACACCCCACACATTCACTCACTCATACCCAGAAAAGAGGCACCTTTCCTGGGTAAAATACCTCCACAACATCCCCGCCCACTAGCCACTCAACCACCGCCAGCAATGAGGCTGAAATGTGGGTGTAAAAAGAGAGCAAAATGTATAAAATATCCTTCCACAACACCACATACATTCACTCACTCATACCCAGAAAAGAGGCACCTTTCCTGGGTAAAGGACCTCCAGAACACCCCCCCCCCCACTAGCCACTCATCCACGACCAGCAAAGAGACTGAAATGAGGGTGTAAAAAGAGAGCAAAATGTATAAAATACCCTTCCATACATTCACTCACTCATACCCAGAAAAGAGGCACCTTTCCCGGGTAAAGGACCTCCACAACATCCCCCCCCCTTCCTAGGTATAACCAATCTCCAGCAGCCCCGAGTTTCGTACCCCTGGTATTCCAAATCTGGTTTCGTGGTCCAGGTATTCCAAACTGAGTTCGATGCCCCAGTTTGTTAGTTTTGTATCCGATTTCGAGCCTCATTCCTGGTGTTGACAAATGGCAGAATACATCCCATATGTCCGACCCAGGTTAGGGAGGGCTGGCCTGTATTGTATCCGATTTTGAGCCCCGTATGATGATCATCCCTCGGATGATGGTCAGTGCATGTCCCCCCCTGTTAGATTACATGGGGCGCAAAAAATTTAAACTTTTTGACCAGGGTTTGGCTGTATTGTATCTGATTTTGAGCCTCGTTCCTGGGGAAACAGTCACTGCATGTCCCGAGTCCCAAATGGCAGAATACATCCCTAGTGGCCTCAGTCATTTGGGACACATTCTGACATTTGGCCTAGGACTTTTGGACACATAACCATCCCATACAAATAAATTCAAAATGTCAGTTTTTGACGTATTAAGTTAAGGGTAATGACATTTCGCCTCAACTGTATGGGCTGGCCATAAATTCCAAGTGTCCTAAACCATTTGGCAGAATACATCCCATATGTCCCATCATATTGTCAGAAAACAATCCCTATGTCCTCCCCATTTGGCAGAAATGTTCCCGTATGACACGGGACATATGGGACCATTTCTGCCAATGCTGGGAAAGAAAGGACATAATCTGACATTCAAACATGAAGGGCCCAAATATCAGAAAACATCCCATCTGGAAATCCCCTAATGGCATAATATGTCCCTCGCGTCCAGAGTCCGTGGACCCCTAGTGGTCACCTTCGGTAAACTGCCAATAGGGACATATATTTGTTTACCCTTAAAAATCATAGCTCCGCACCTGTTGGTCCAAACACAGCGCCGCTCGCCCACCTGACAGTAGACAAGTTGGGCTATACAACTGAGGGGGTCTGCTATTTTTAGGGGCCCCCAGAGTGCCATTTAGGGTGGCCTGAAAAAGTGCCTGTTTTGGGGGCGTACATTCCATCTGTCCTGTCGAGTCATAGGGCCGGTAAGAGAAGTCATGCGAGCAAATAACAGAACCCAGAGATGTTGTGTAGAGCGAGAAGAGAAGGGGGCCCAGGACTGAACCTTGTCTAAACAGTTTGATTAGCATTAGCATTCATTAGCACCAAAATACAGGAGGCAAATGTAAACTAACACATTTAGAGCTGAAGGAGGCGATATTAGGTCATTATAATATCAACTAATTTTAACCACTGCATGTCACAAACAATATTTAATAGAAGGGTTCCTTTTGGTTTAGAAAATGACTCTACTTCTCTCTTGATTTATTACCTCAGTAAACATTGTAAACATGAGTTTATGGTCTCAATCTCTAGTTTCAAGTCTTCTTCAATACAGCATGATGTTCATTTTGTACATTATGGTCCATTTAGAGTCAAACACACCATAAAGCAGGGGATGCTTATATATATATATTTATTTATTCACTTTTGGACTTTCTCTGGAGATATTAAATGAATGACACAAACGACCGGTCGTCTCCAGGTGACAGTAGATATTTATTGTTCCAAGTAATAACCCACTTCAGTAAAGTTACAACAGATCATTGTCAGTACATTCTCATGGTGTAGAACTTGTACGTAACATTAGTTTAAAGAGTTCCAAATCATTAGTAAACATTGAAAGCAGTGATTCTCCACCAGTCAGCAGGTGGAGGTGTGATGGACTGGAGCTGATGCTTCAGGATGTGGTCTGCAGGGTCTCTACTTAAGGAAGTTGCCGATTCCACCCATCAAACCTGAGACTAAAGTGAGAGGAAGACAAGAGAATATTAAAATACATACCACATGAGCCCACATGTGTTTCAACAGAAACATAATCATATTAATATCCAGACTGAAACATGTCAACAACTACGATGTGCTGGATGATGATGATGAAACGTGGTTCATTCAACATTCTGGATGCTACGCTTGTGAGCACGTTAGCATGTAGCTCATAGCACGCTGTGCATTATTGAAGACGTAAACTAACGAGCTGAACAGTCAGTGTGTGAACCCACTAGCTCGCTGGCTTAGCTTTGTCGCTAACGGGACAATACGTTCACACAGTTGTCGTTTTAATTGTTAGAGTTGCAAAGGGAACATTTTCAAAGGAAGTTAAGACCGTGAATAATTAGAAATATATATATTCAATGTAATAATCTAACTATTTAAAAGTACATTTATTTTAGGGGGATGATAGGCATAGAACATAATAGTTATTTTTGCATGTTTTGGATAAAAGTACGATCATTGAAGTGTAACCTGTTCTGCATTGAGCAGCGCTCCTCCATCACATGATTAACCAGCATCACATTCACAAGGAAGAGACGAGGAGGCGTCAGAGTCGTGCAGTCAAGAATAGTCTTTTATTTTGGAGGGGGTCAAGGGGAATGTTTGTTGTTGTTGTTCAACAAGACTTTTAACACATTTAATTAAAGTCAATCTCAGCTAAATTGTCGATGTTTTGCCGTTCTGCCTGCTGGTGACGGTAGAAGGTTTGTGTCTGTAACATGAGACAGTGAACGCAGCCGAACCCTTATTTACATCTCATTCCCATAAATATCCGGTAATTTTCCACCTTGAATGTTGTCAGAGTTCTGCAGCTCGACTCCTGTCAGTCATTGCTCGAGTGTGGAGCCCTCGTCAGTGCCCCGTTCTGCACATGTGCAGGCGAGCCTACCCAGAATGCCATTGCCGGAAGCCCCGTCCCTACTCCGCCTCTGATTGGCTGCTAAACGCTAACATTAGCCTGTAGCTATAATGCTAACTGGTGCTTTGAACTAAATAGGCCCAGGAGGAGAGACTTTTTTATTGTAGTTTTGCTATTTCGGCATTAAATTCACTTTGATAAAATCAGAGGCATAGATTGCGTATATTAAATGCATTATGTCACAAAGTATCCTCAAACAATGGTTCATATGATTTCCTACAAAAAGTTACTCTTAATTTCTCGTGCGTTTTTCTACGAAAGTCCAGGAACACGAATTACGTGAATACAGTCTTTTCAAATTTTGCAAATACATTTTTTTCGTAGCTTTTTTGCTACGATAGCTGGATGAGACCAGCCTGAGCATCAAAGCTAGGCTAACGTTAGCGTTCTGCAGCCAGTAGCCAATCAGAAGCAGAGGGCAGGTCTTCCCGCGCAGCATTCTGGGAAGTGAAAAACGGGGAACTGACTGATCAGCTCGTGGTTTCACCAAAATGTTACTCAAATCCAATCACCAATCAATTCCACCAGACCGAAGTACTCACCTCCTCCTCCTCCTTCTCCCTCCTCCTTCTTGTCATCGCCCCCTCCTCCAACCATCGAGAGGGCGTCTCTGAGGCCGAAGCCTCCGTCGCCTCCGCCCCCTCCACCAACCATTGACATCACCTTGTCCATCCCTCCTTTCTCCTCCTCCTGCCCTTCGTTACCCAGGACCTTGTTCATGACGCCCTTCACCGCATCCTCTGCAGAAACAAACATCTGTTAAGTGAGGTCACCATATAAAGGTGGGACCGGGTTTCTGTCTTATACTCAACCGGCCTGGAGCAGATGTTTGGTCACCTGACTGACGCTGTGTTAATTTAATACTGGAGGAATAACACATCCTGAACATGACCGGAGGGAGGCGGACGTAGAACCATCTGAATCCAGATGTAGAGCTGAGAGTGTTTCTGCATGACGATAATCTACAAACCTTCACGGCTCAGATCATAAACACTGGAACGTGAATCTAACAAGAACCAACATATTCTGTCTTCATTCTAATCATTTTAATTAGAAAACATATCATTGCTCCACATAATAATCCATATATGCTGCACGTTGTGTTTTAGCTTGTCCCCCTTCTACTCAGATTGTAAAACAAACGTGTGAATGTTGAATAAAAGATACGAACACTTTACACTGAATGATTGCTTTCTGTTTGAAACGCGTCCAGTCGAGAGGAAACAAACTCAAACTTCTTCTTAAAAACTCAAACGTGATAGTTTCTAATGATACTCACCCGCTGTGTCTCCCACCATCTTTGCGATCATTTTGTCCATATCTGCTGGTGATCTGTCGGTCTGCGCTGCCTCGAGTGTGTGTTGACTGTTTTTTAAGGATGGAGGAGGGCGGGGCTTATGGAGGCAGTTTGTCCTGAGGTCTCTGCAGGTGAGCCTCTCTGTGGTCTCGCCCTGTTCAAGAATTAGGTGTGGCTTCAGGGCGGGCCAGTCTCACAGGTCTGAGACATCACTGCAGCAGAACATCTATAGTTTACATGTGAACACAGGTGTGTGTGTGTGTGTGTTACATCCCTAAAGAAGAATTTAAAGAAGGCAGCATGACTCACCACAATAATCACCTGTACTCATGATCACATAGAGGCCCTCAAACAAAGAGAGATTAAACAGGTCGATCTGTTCATGTGTCACATTCATCACCTCGTGCAAAGATCGGAGCTGCAGTCAGAACATGTCTGTGATGGACAGGTGAAAAGCCGCCGTGAAGGGGCGTGTCTGTAGGAGTGACGTCACAATCAGCCATAAACCAAGATGTACTAGTGCGAGTACTACTACCGCAGTGTTTTCTGGAGTATTTCTCACCTTGACAGCTAATGTACCATAACAAATACATAGTTCTAGTTCTTGTATGTAGTGTTCTCTCTGTGAAGTCCACCGATCCGATTCCTTCTCTAAAGAAATCCACGGATGCGACTCGGCGACATCACCGATCATCGATGGCAGCTGAGTTTACAAAATCACGACTCGACCTCAACAAAATCCGAGTCACAAAATCTCAAACTTTGCAGTGCTGATTAAAAGTTAATCCAGATTCTGTCACTGAGTCGACTTCAATGTTTCCAGAAACACATTTTAGTTTCTGAGAACAGTTTGTCCTCCATCAGATGAAACACTTCATCTGATGAAGCGTTTTATCTGATGAAGCCCCATCAGTCCGGGTTCAAGGTGGGTCACTCGACTGAGACAGCCCTCCTTGCGGTGACGGAGTCGCTTCACGCCATGAGAGCGACCTCTCTCTCCTCTGTCCTGATTCTCCTGGACCTGTTTGCGGCGTTTGACATGGTGAACCACCAGATCCTCCTCTCCACCCTCGAGGGGATGGGCGTCTCAGGCTCTGCACTCTCCCTGTTTGCATCCTACCTGACAGGTCGATCCTACCAGGTGACACGGAGGGGGGCCGTGTCGGAAACACGCATGCTGACTACGGGGGTTCCACAAGGCTCAGTCCTGGGCCCCCTTCTCTTCTCGCTCTACACAACATCTCTGGGTTGTGTTATTCGCTCGCATGACTTCTCTTACCATTGTTATGCCGATGACACCCAGCTGGTCTTGTCATTTCCTCCGGTGACACTCAAGTGGAGGCACACATCGCTGCGTGCTTGGCTGACATCTCAAAGTGGATGTCGACACACCACCTCAAGCTCAACCTGGACAAAACCTCGGGGCGATCGGTTGCCCCGTCGCTCAGAGGTCCCTACGGCCGATCGACCCGGTCGCGGCTGTTTCCTGTCCTGGCCCCACAGTGGTGGAATGAACTCCCCACTGATGTCAGGACAGCAGAGTCGCTGCCCATCTTTCATCAGGCTGAAGACTCACCTCTTCAAGAAGGCCTACCCTGAGCCTTCCACTCACCACTTACTGTATTCATACTAGTTTGTTTCTGTACTTCTGCTCTGGTTTATGCTCTTAGATGGTTGATTAAAGGAGATGCACTTATGACTTCTGGTGACTAGTAGTTCTCTTGAATATGTTGAATACACTTATTGTAAGTGGCTTTGGATGAAAGCATCTGCTGAATGACTGTAATGTAATGTCATGTTTATCTTCTGTTCATACGGTTCAGATTTGACCAAAAGGGTGGAATATAAGTACATTAACCCAATATTCTGCCAGTGCAAATGTGAGGTACTTTGTGTTTTTCTACGTCTGCTTAGTCTCCATAGTGGTAAAGCTCTGACGTCTGAGTGATCTGATTGGTTACAGGTGTTTTCACAGGTGCATTCTGGGTGCAGGTGATAGATGATGACGATGACTTGGAGCCGTTCAACAGATACTCGAGTCTCTGCGTCACTAACAGGTTTAAATGTGACGCATGAAACCATTCAACTAGTATTCTCAGCTGGAGAGTTTAAAATAGAACAAAACATCTTAGTTTTATGTGTTTTGTGTTTAAAAATATAAATTTGTAAAGAAACTAAAGCTGTCAGATAAATATAGTGAGAAAGACTCAAGTACTGTACATAAGTATACATCTGAGGTACTTGTACTCACAGCAGTGATGAGTCATGTTTTCTTCACAGACTCCTCACATTGTTCTCATTGTCTCACTGAAATACGACTAACCTGCTCTTCAGCACAGAACTCACACATTCTGCAGTACTACTACCACCAGAGAAATACTCTGTGACGACTAAAAGTCCTGCTCTCAAAACTTTACTTCAATAAAAGTACAAAAGTACTGGCGTCGTTGTGTTCATCACTTTACAGATTTAATGACTTTATGATCTATAATTACACATCGTCATGTGTCAGTTCATTAATACTCTGAATCTGTCAAATAACTATTGAATTAAATTAAGTTTAAAAGTACAATATGTCCCTCTGAAGTACATTGAGCAGAAAATAGAAATACTCCAGATTGTACTAGAACGTGAGTAAATGTACTTTGTTTGTCTCCACAGCAACACAAACAGATCGCTTTACTCTGACTCTGGATCAGGTGAACGCAGAACCGGTGGAACCGGTGGAACCGGTGGAACCGGTGGAACCGGTGGAACCCGACAGGACGGGGAGGGACACCTGAGAGGGGCGTCGACCAAAAGAGACGAAGGCTTCAGTCTCACCTGCACCTGCAAGAGGACACATTGAGGTCTCTCATCACATAGACAGACAGAGAGACAGAGAGACAGACAGACAGACGGAGAGAGAGACAGAGAGACAGAGAGACAGACAGACAGACAGACAGACAGACAGACAGACAGAGAGAGACAGAGAGACAGACAGACAGACGGAGAGATAGACAGAGAGACAGAGAGACAGACGGAGAGATAGACAGAGAGACAACAGAGAGACAGAGAGAGAGACGGACAGACAGACAGACGGAGAGACGGACTGGGAGAGAGACAGAGAGACAGACAGACAGAGATGGCTTCTAAATGGATTGCAGAGAAAATGGGTGAGTAGAGCAAAGGGGAGGGATGAGAGTGTTTGCATGGTCCTGATTTGCATGTCTTGTTGTCGATGTTGCTGCAGTAAAGTATCAGAGGAGGTTTAGTGGAAAACATCAACAAATATTCTGCTTTACCGGCAATTATGGTTCAAACTCAGTTATTCCAAAGGATTCAGTCACAGACACAGTTCATCTACAACAAGATGTAACAAGCTGATTCATAATAGAATTGATGTTACATATCAAGATGTCGGGTTTAAAACCTGTGTTTTTATTCATATTCATGAATTAATTTTAATAAATCACGTCAAAATCAACAGGTTCAGTGATTGTTTGCTGCAAATTATGTTCATAAGATGAATTATTTAAAGGGACAGTTCACTTTGAGAAATGTTACCAAACCAGTAACTTCAAAACAACTTCCGGTCTTCAAAGCTTCATGTGTTAAAGCTGCATTCTCTCTAGTGTCCA